TTGTCTGTGTGAATCAGAACATGTTGATTCCGCAGCACAGAGGCAAAGTGTTGAATCACATTCAAAACTGTGCGACATTCCAGAACGTTTATATGAGCTGTTGTGTGAGGTGGCCACAGCGCCCCTACAGCTCGGGATAGGCATGTCCCCCCCCCCCAACCTGACAGGGACGCGTCTGTGAACACTGAGACATGTGACGTAGGTCTGCTGACAGGGACTCCCTCTGACAGAACGAGTGGGTTTCCTCAGTGTCGGAGGTCTGTTCTCATGGAGGGGGGCACAGCAATCATCCGTCTCTTCTGCCTCACCGGATCCACACTCAGACGAACAAACCGTCTCTGGAGGCGTCGCATGTGGCGTAAGCCCAGCGGAACCTTCGTGTGAGCTGACAACATCATTCCTAACAGCTTCATGACGGAAATGGCTGTTACCACTCTGCCAGGCCTTATGTGGCGGAGCTGGTCTTTTAGAGTTTCAATTCTCGTCTGTGATAAACGAGCCCTCATGGTGATTCAGTTTAGCTCCACTCCTAGATAAACGATCGTCTGGGCGGGAGAATCGAGCTTTTTTCCCAATTTATGGCGAAGCCCAGATTTAACAGGTGTGACGTCAGCACCTTGGTCTGCGCAGCTGCCTCCTGTCTGGAACGGGTCAGCAGCAACAGATCGTCCAGGTAAAACAAAATTCTCATCCCTGCTCTGTGTAACGGTTGCAGAGCCGTCTCCACACACTTTGAGAATGTACGAGGCGCGAGGGAATAACCGAATGGCAGCCGGTTGTACTGATACTTAATCCCTTGAAAGGAGAAGCGCAGGAACTTTCTGTGCTTTGGGATGATCGGGATGTGAAAGTAGGCGTCTTTCAGATCGATGGAGATAAACCAATTGTTTCGCTGAATGTTGTCTAACAGGTTGTCAACGTGTGAAAACTGTCTCTCCATAATCGCCTTGTTGAAAATTGACAAATCCAAAATGGGTCTCATCCTTTCGGTCCGTTTTGGGACCAGGAAGTAACGTGAGTAAAACCCTATGTTTTCCTCTCCGTCGGGAATCCTGGAAATTACATCTTTTACCAGAAGATCCTGAACTTCTACGTTAGAGATGAGATCTGGTCTGGGGATGACAGAACCGTCTCTAAAATTCCTCCGAACGGGGGGTGGGGGTGGGGTGGGGGTGGGGTTTGAGCTGCGAATTGCAGCGTATAACCCCTACTGATCAGACGGCTCATCCATCTGTCTAGAGAGCACATCCGTTGCCACTTTGCGTAACGTTCAGGGAGTGGGCGCGCGTTTTAGTGATGCGTCATGTTTCTTACGGACGTCAGCCAGTTTACAGCCTCCACCGCCGTCATGTGTCGTGGAAGTGTGTTCCGCGTGACCCAAGGGGAGGCTTTCTCAAACAGGCTCTGAGCGCGCTTCTGTGCCGCACTCAGGCTGCGGGCTCACATTCACGCTGGTGTGAGCCGGCGTGTGCTGAGGAGAGGTGTGCGCGCCCTCATCAACGTGGCACCGATTGGGTGAAAACTGCCGGCACCACGGGAGCGCACGTTTGACACCGCTGCGGTGAAAGGAGGCAGCGTGCAGCCCAGGCTGAGAGCGAGGTTTCCCACTGGACTCGGTCTGCTGAATACATTCACTTTTGGCTGCTGTGTCACGCGAGTGTTTTGTGTGTTCCTTTGAGCTGCGGTGATTTTGAAAAACCTGTTTTGAGGACACCGGCTCGTTTTGTGTGGAAGATGTGTGAGGAGGAGCCGCTGTGAGATCATTCGAACTGACAGGCTGAAATCAGACACTTTAATCTTTGAATGATGTTCGTGTTTTAAGCTCAATGGGATTTACCTGTCTAAATAAAGGTTGAATGAATTTCAAAACTCATGTCATCATTTTGCACACACACATTCCCCACAAGGAATCATTTCTTGAATCTTCTCCCCCGTGAGCCCTGCGGTTTGTTGTCCCAGGGCGCCGCCTGTTGGCGATCTCTGGGGAAACGCTGTACCGCTGGTTGCCGGGATGAGAAGGGCTGTTCTCTGACGGGAGGGGCTGTCTGCGGAACGGAGCGGGAGGACGCTGCTGCAGCTGTGGAACGTCTCTGTTGCTGCCTTTGGCCATGACGATCCTTCCAGCGGGCCGGGGGGCAGGATGAGGCGTGCGGCTTGATCAGATGGCGCACAGTCTCCGACACCTCCTCCAGCTTTTTTGATTTCTCGAGCACGTCCTTAAAAATTGGCTCCGAACAGCGCGTCTGTGGTGATGGGGCCTTCCAGCAAGTCCATCTGCAGCTTCTCTGACAGGGGGGGGGAGTGACAAGCCAGGTGGACCTCTGAATCATTGTCATCCAGGCTGCGATGCGAGACAGGCAGACAGCAGACGAGGCACATGGGTTGAGGGTGACGTCAGACGCCTTGCAGAGGGAGCTCTTCGTCTCCTCTGGCAGGTCTGTCCCTCCGGCCTCTGAGATGCTGTACGTCAGCGGTGCAACGTTATTGTTCACTGCGGCCGCCTGGAACGCACACTGGTGAGCTCGGTTGGAGAGCGACATCACCGTCTGGTCATGCCTCCCCGGAGGCGCAGGACGCTGGTCCAACCTGGACATCTTTGCTCCGAGAGCCTCCGCCAAGCTTGGCTCCATGGGGGTACTGAGGGAATTTCCACTCGGTAAAACCCCTCCACTCTGATGATGGACGCGAATGTGGAAACCGGCGCTCTCAGTCTACCAGGTCCGGCTGCAGCCTCGTTCCAGTAGGACATCACTGCTGGGAAAACGAGACCAGATGGGATCAGGACGGCAAGCCGGGGTGGAACCAAAAAACCTTCCTGCTAGATCATCCGATCTGGGCGGGGGAAGGAGAGGGACGGAAAAAAGTCCCTTCATGTCAGCTGCCTCCTGGATTATGCCGGGCAACTTCGAGGAGGGCACCGACGGCTGGGAGCAGTGTGGTCGCCGATGCGAAAGGGCCCGGGGGGGGGGGAGCATCCGTTCAGCCCCCCTCGTTCCACCACTACGCCCTCCAGGAGGGAGTGAGCAGCGGGGGCTGCTGCTGACGTCGCCTGTCCTGGAGGAACCATCCGATTCGCTCCGAGAGTCGGCGATAAAAGGAAAAAAGGGTAGATGGCATCGTCCAGCGTGTAGCGACCCGCCACTGAGAAATATTCCTCGGCGCTTACCTTGAAACAAGGCTGCTCGTCTGCTTCTCCTGGGGAGGAGAACTCACTGGGATGGTAGGAGATTGGCGTGGCGGGATCACAGGCAGCCTTAACAAAGGTTGTGCCGGTCAAGCTGGACAACTTCCCTTCTTTGTTCTTCTGACAGTGCTATTAGCTTGCTGAAGAAAAATGGGGAGCCGATTACCCGCTCTTAAGGTAATTTATATGGACCGGGTGGGCCCCACACAACAGGTGGGCGTGGACTAAACTTTTCAGTGCGATGCTTTGCATGACGGGATAAACCCACTAGCAAGGTCCTTAAAGGGCGAAGCCTATATGAAATAGAACAAGTTGATTCAACAGGTTGGCTTGACTGCACAGTGCAGTGTGAATGCAAATGCACCAGCTCAAATGTAAACAAAATGTTATGAATATTGGTCCCTAACTGGACCGAGTCTACCGGACTATCAAGTGTGGAAACAATCTGCAAAAAGCAGACAGACACAATAACCTGTGGTTCCCAAACCAGACACCCATGACTGGGCTTTGAGATCTTGTTTATGAACATCACAAACTGGATCAGACACAAGAAATAATGGTATAGTGATAGTGGTGGAGTCCAACTCGCACTGGGAATGAGATCGACTTTATGCTGAGAATGCAACTATAGCCCCTGCTTTGGTTATAGAGTGATTTAAAAGACCGCCACAGAATGCCTCAAGGTACATGATCATAAGTCTTCTCCAAATCCAGAAATCAGCTATTTTTATTATTCATGGCTAAGCAAATTACAGATTTTATTGGTATTAGAAGGAAATGTTACCTGCGTTGGGTTGCTGATGTCATTTGTTACATCATAAAAAAGAAAAAAATAGAAAATATTAAGGAGAGTAGAAACATCTGAAATTATGTTTAGAGGAAGAAAACAGATGTGAAGCAAAGAAGGAATGTGTTTCAGATGGGCTGTAGGTCCCTTAAGGAGCAGGAGTAGAAAATCATTACGTGGACTTGTCTTTCTGAAAATCATGGAGGAGAGTTTGTTCAAAATGACGAAATTTTGTCATTTGACGTTTTCTGTTAAAATATTTGAACAGTTGAAGTGGAAGACGCTTGTGATGTGTCCGTTAAATATGTAAGTTTTGATGCCTTTTTAAAAAATGAGTACCAAATAAGGACAAAATTTAACTGTTCATTATATCAATATTTATTTGAATAGCTGTGCATGTTTTAAACAGAATTAACACAAAAAAGGAGTTAATGTCCTCTCAGTGGTTTTGTGTGTAGTAGAGAGGGTAAAACTATGTCAGTGGTGCTTAGAATAAAAATTGAGCTATAAAAGTATTAAAGAACAAATAAGCATAGTTTACTTATAAAGTGCAAAGCCAGGTACCAGTAATTGAACAGGAGATTCAATGTGTATGCAGAAGATTTCTACTGTTTTTAAAAAAATATATATATAAAAAGGGAAGATTCACCCACAGTAGGTCACTTTTCTGCATTGAAACTGTTGATTTGTTATTGCACAGTGTTAAAAACAACAAAAATCAACAAATAAAACAAAAACAAAAAAAAAAAAACCAACTATAAGTAGTTACGGATTCTGCCATACGTGCATAGACAAAGGACAAAATACAGTTTGTGTCAGAAGGCCTTATATTACAAAAACTCTCTTCTACATATGTGGATAAAAACAATGAAAATATAAAATCACAGAGTCAAATGGAGTTTAGCAAAGAAGAATTTAAAGACTACTAATGTTACATTGTTATATTTTGCATTGTCTGTTTGAAACACTTTTCTAAGCTTTTTTGCAAAGATAACTGCAGTTGCATGTTAAAACAAAATTGGCTATTTCAAACATTTTTTACGTTTTTTTTTTTCTACAAATGGTTTCAGTCCTCAGATTCTTTAGAAAAAGGGCTCCTCTTTGCATACCCATTTATCTGGCTTGTGAACAGAAATTTGTGCACTGTTTGTTTCAGAATCATTTCTCCCAAATAGTTTATTGGACTTTTCATGACTGTGCATTCTAGGTCCTGTCGACTCAGTTTTGTTTCCGTCATTGTCACTGTTACAGATTTGCTTTTTTGAAAGGAGATGCATAGTGTGATGCACATTGAGCCTCTTTTTAACAACTTTATGTTTCACCTTTGAGGAGGTGAGAGAAGGCAGTGAGTCGGAGCAGGGCGACAGTGGTCTTTTAATGTTAGAATAGGACACATCTTGGTAGGCAGTCGAAGACATAAAGTCAGCTGCATCATTGTTTTTAAGTGTGCTATCAGTTAAAATGTATTCTCCATCCATGCTCTCAGATTTTATGGTTTTGCCCTCTTGATCGTCACTCTCCTTCGTCTTAGTGGTGCCTTGTTTATTGTCCTCTTCTGGGTGTGCTGAGTATTTAGAACTAGATGTAAAGGTGTCGTATATGTAACTTTCCTTGTTTTCTGTCTGGTGTTTTTTCTCATGGCTTCTCTTGGTGGCGAGATACAGAAAACGCTGGGGACAAAAGGAGCAACGATATTTCTTCTCTGGGTTGGGGCTTCGGGGTGTGTTGTCAAAACAAGAGCCATTTTCCATGCAACTTTTACAGATGTAATCACCACTGACTGGTGCCTCACCAGGGGGGCCTTGTTTACCACAGCTCCGGCAGAAATATGGGTGGGAACCAATTACATGAGCTCTCAGTCCGGTCTCAGTAATAAAAGAGCTGTCACAGATGTCACAACTGTAGGTGGCCCTTGGGCCATGGTTCATGCTAGGACTATGTTTCACCCCTTCACTATCTCCTGAGCTCTGCTCCTTTGGTGGAAAATGAGTTCTATCGAGGTGGGCCTCACTGGTAGAAGTTCTGTCTTCGGATGGTTCAGGAAACTGGTGAAACAGAGGCCTGCTGTGTTTGTATTTGAGCTTGTTTCTTTTCTTTTTAGCTTTGTAAGAATAATAGGGACGCCAAAGCTCATCAGCTGTGTCACAGTCATTGGCGTCATCGTACGCCTCCGGGCCAGTGAAAGCAGAGATGTCTGGTCTGAAGCGAAGTCTGGGGCTTTCTGGGTTTTCCCTTGTTGGAGAGCTCTGACTTGGACTCTGCTCTCCACTCAGTTTTCTTGTTCTCCTTTTCTTCCTTGGAAAGAGCTTAGATCCTTTGATCTGACGGCGAATGATGGCTTCATTGCCTATTTTCACTGTTATCTGACACAGAGGCATAGAATCACTTTCCAGAGATGGACCCTGACATGCAGGTTTGGCAATATATGTCTCCACAACTTTATCACACATCGGATTCTCTGTGCTTGATTGAAGTATTTCCTTTGTCATCTCCTCAACTCTTTTTGCAGAAGCTGACAGTTCACCTAACTTTTTGACAGTACTCAAAGAATTTAGGAGTGACACATCATGACTAATGTTGTCTGAGTTAATTATCATTGTTGGATCATCGTTGCAACCTGCAGAAAATTCATTATTGGGTTGCACAGAGAAGATGCTGTCACAGTTATCAGTGGATGGATCTCTGGTTTCAACACCTTTTCTTGTACTTCCCTGCATTTCCATTTCACTGTTCAGACTTTGGTCCATATCGTGGTCACTTTGCTTGTTGAAGCAGATGCGAGGTACGACAGGTGAGACAATCTTAGTTGTTGTCATGAATGTTAGAGGAAAAGAAGTTGTGTCAGCGTGGCAAATAAGACCATTTTCTTCAAAGGGAGGAATGAGAGAATTGCTGTGTAGAGAGGATGGATCATTTATTTCAATACGTTCTGAGTACGTGTGACTGTATGTCTTGTACTGCTTTTTCCTAAACTTCATAGGAAGTAGTCTGTAGAGCTTGATTGGATAAACACTTGCTTTCAGCCCACCATTGGCAGATTTCTTTTTAACAGATATATTTGGATCAATGCCATGAAAGGACTTCTGATGGTTTTTCAAGATATAATATGTCATGAATGTCTCCAGGCAGAAAATACACTGATAGCGACGTTCACCTGTGTGCCAGATTTCATGCTTTGTACGATACTCTGCCAAGGCAAACACTTTATTACAGTAGTGACAAGGGTAGGCTCTCTGCCAAGAATGTACATTCTCATGCCGCTTCAGGCTGGAAAGGGTAACATAAACCCGTTTACACACACTGCAGTTGTATCTCCTCTGACCAACACCTGGCTTCACTGTCTTTTCACTTTGTTGATGCTCTGAATGGACCAGTTGAACAGATTCTGGCATGTAAGGGTCGGAGAGATCTGCAGAAGGAAGCTGTGTGTCAACGCTCTCTACATCCAATACGTCTTCTGAATCATGGTCCATGTCTTTGGCTGATACATCCCTAGGTGGGCTTTTTAAAGCAGATGGACATACCTGCTCGTGGTTGTGTAGTCGTTTGAGTTGTATGAATTTTTTGCTGCAAAATTTGCAAAACAAGTCATTAACAAAATATTTTTTGTGTACCTCTGCATGAATGGTTAGTAGATCTTTATTTGGAAATATCTCTGGACACTGCTCGCAGCTGTGAAGTAAAATGCTTTCCTCGGTGTGAGGAGAGAGTGGTGGCGGCCCTAACTCCGCATTAATTTCATTATTGGCTGCAGATAGCCCTATGCCCATTTGTTTCTCTCTTTCTTCCTCTGAAAAAAGTGGAGGTGGAGTCGTAACGGTGGCAGGTACCTCTGAATCGCCAGTGGATAATGAGGGAGTTATTGTGTTTAATTTATCTTTTGGTGGCTCTGCAGGTCTTGAAAGTATAGTTCTACCCAACATGCCTCCCAGTCTGTGGCGTTTTTTGAGAGGGCCTGTATTCCAGTAACTGAGTTGCTTTGACTGTGAAGACAACTTGTAGACCTTATTGTTGTCCCACTGACTGCTGTCTTTGCCTTCGGTTGGTTTGCATACTGCATACGAGTGATCAAAGAGGGTGTGGCTTGACTCATTGTTCCCATTGATGCAAGAGGTTGTCGAAATGTTTGATGGTGTATGTCCCACATCTGGCAGCCTCTGCTCTTTGTTGGTTTGAACTACAGAAGTGAAGGGATTGCTGCACACACTCACTTCGTTGATAGAGAAGGCATTAGTAATACGAGGCCCTCTGGTACTGTCTGTCTCTTCAGGCCTGGAAACTTCCTTCTTTGTTTGTCTAGACCCAAGAGCTGTGCAAACGTCTGTTAATACCACACAGTCATCTTGTTTCTCTTCGGAAAGCCTTTCTAAAAAAGGAATCCCAAGTCGTCTTCCTGCTGCTACAAGCCCCCGTGTGTCATCAGCACCAAGTGATGTCACCTTTGAGCAGTATATAAAGTTCAGGATGTTGGCAAACACCTCAGACCTCAGGTCCATAAGCTCCAGCACTTGGCTAGAGCTGCATGTGTCAGAACTTGTCAGAGCATTTTTGAAGTATCCGCTGCATGCTGCAAGGATGTTCTTGTGGGCCCGAAACTTTACGTCCTCCACTACAATGGTGATATCACAGAAGAGGCCTTTGGTGCGCTGCTCATTGAGCTTGTTTAGCACAGTGTAAGGGTGTGTGCTATCCATCAGGTTCTGGTGTATGAGGACACTGCAGTCATCTAAAAATAAAAATAAAATAAGACAAGTAGTTATTACATCACATTATTAGAAATCAGTAAAACAGCAATTTAAATAGAACCAGAAGTTTCGTAATCACACAAAAGCTGTTCACAATTTTATTGTGAGCAGCTTTTGAACTAGGTGTCACAATTTAAAAACTTTAAAAGCATTTCTATATCCATAACACTAGATGGCAGTAATGTTTTACCCTATGAATGGCTGTTTTCACATAACTCTGGTGAGTTAAAACAATTTCTATGCCATTTCATATAAAACATTTCTTCTCAAACTTAAAGATTAGATCAACTCAAAGGTTAAGGAAATAGTCAACACCATCAAAGAGTACTGTGCTGTAAAGTACAAGTACTTTCACCAAACTGATTTAAAGAATGTGCCATTATTATTTGATATTTGCACAGTTTATGTAATAATCACCATTTCTCAGTCATTTTTTTTTTATGCACGAGTCATTAAAAACAACATTTTCATTGTAATAAAATAGTATTTTTTCTGAATCGTTTGTTGATCAGTGCTGCTGTTTAAGAGAGATGATTGAGGAAGGGTTAATGTCAACACTTAACCCCTAAATATTGCACTACAGCTGTTTTGACTGTTTCAGAAAACACGCTTAATGCTACATAAATAATTATCTAAGTGCATTTTAATAAATGAGCCCAAATCAATTGCTGCCAACCTAAAACACATTAACAGAAAAAACGACATAAAACCTTTAATATAGTGATAAAAATTACACGTACAGTGGATATAATGTATTTTATATCCCTTATCTTCTTTGGATTGAATGAAAATGACTTTTTAGGAAAAGCTCAAGCTGACTGATTACTAATCAAAGATTCAAAGTCTTAAGAAGAAATTTTGTTTAGACAACAGATGTCCTGGCTTTTGTGGAAAAATATTCTTTAAAAAGCTAAATGAACGCTAATTCTACCAGCTGTGCAGTGGAATTGTGCAGCTGTCATGGCAGACCTGTTTTTCTCGGTGCTTAGGTTATTTAAGAAAATGTCGAGCAGATTTTTATGTGAGGGTGACTCAGACAGTCCCTTCATCTGTTATCTATCAGTTGAAGGCATCCATTCGCTTTACGTGACAAAAAGTTGCTATCAGTTTAGGTTTTTTCTAAATAATGAATAATTTTTAGTGAAGGGAAGTGGTGATTAGCAAAAAAGTGCAGAACATATGAAAAGAAAGGCAGAATTATTCATTTTCTGGTGACGTAAAAATAATACTCTGCTTCAACTTAAGGTTTGTACATCTTAATTATCTGGGCGCTGTGTACTGGAATGCACATCCACCATCTCTGATTTACAAACATTTACATTTACACGATGAGAAACCTTCACAGTGACAGATAAAGTATTTTACTGTGAACACTGATCAACTCGGTGTGACTTCGAGGAAGTCCGAGTTCAATTGTTTGAAAGAAGATGCATCACAGGATGTGATATATTATTTACGCTCATATCAGAGAGGTTTGACTCATTTAACGTCGTACACATGCTGATAAAACACTCTTCATCACTCGCACATGATTCATCACATCTTCATCTCTTCTATTCAAGGGTCCTCTTTGATCTTTCTTGTTATTCATGCTATTACTTTACAGCAGTCATAAAAATTATGTATGCAGCAGAGCTTTTGGCTAACGTTACTTTGAATAAAATGCAGCTATATGTAATGTGTGAGTGGTAAAACCGTACTGACTTGAAGTCAAACCATTTGTCCTGACAATTTAATTGTCAGGTATGCTTATTCTCTGTAGTTACATTGAACGAAGACGTAGTTCAGTTTTGTCTCTCAGAATCTTCAAATTGTTTTCACTTTTTTAAACAAAAAAATAATTATTGACTCTGGAACAGAGTACTGTATATAAATACAGATGTTGCTTTGTATTGATTTTTCAAATTTTCTTTATTTCGTTTTGTAATTTTGTCACTGCAACAAATACAATATGGCCGCCGTTCTTTGCAGCCTCTCAGACGACTGAAAACACGACTGCCCTCCTGCCTTCAGTCTCAGACGGGCCTCCGTCGTCATGGTAACATGCTATGGCGCAGCTTTTATTGGGATTCTGCTGGTCGCCGATCGACTGTATCAGCCGTCAGTGTATTCGGTTACCTCTTTCTCACAAACATCCTGCCCTCTCTGAGAACCTGCAGCATGCAGCAATGTGCAGAGAAGCTGAGGTTTGCTTTTGTCCTCACTTTAATCTACTTTGTGTGTGTGTTTGTGTTTGTCTGAGAGTCTTTGTGTGCAGCACAAAGTGGACTTCCTCGTCTATCACGTCATTATCAGAGGAACAACTGATGAACCAAATATTTATACTTGTTCCTCAGTTTGTGGTGGTTTTTATCTGTTTCCTAATAGGCAGTGAATTCACCTTACAACATCCATTTTTCACAGTTTACATCAATTGCTGTGGTTTTATGCTGCCACATGCTGAGCGGAAATTCAGAATTTGATATGAGTTTGCCACACCTCAACTTAGTTTACCTTGAAAGCCAAAACAAAGATTTCTTTATAATAAATATACTGTATATGGCCTGTATATATATATATATATATATTTTTTTTTTTTTACATAAAAAATCCCTACATGCTAAACCACAAACCAACAAAAGACAGTATTGACAAACAGAGAGCAAACTGTCAAAGCAAAAGCCTCTTCGTGTGACTCTGCAAAGCGTACTTCTGCATAAATAGTAATTGTAATGTGAAAAAAACCTAAAATAACTGGCTAGGCATTGAGGGTAAAGCATGCAAAACGTACCTTAGTAAATCAGAGAAAACGATGCGTAGCAAACAGGAAACAATGTCATGCAGTATCCCCTTTTTTTACCGCACATAGACCCAAACATACACAAAAAACAGTTTCGTAAGAGCAAGACGAAAGTAGTTTTTTCTACGAGGTTCGCTGAACGGTGATGTTGTGAGAAGCAGAGCTGTTTTTCTGACGTCTTTCTTCCTCTCCCTCCCTCTCAGTGTGCAGATGACTCCAGCTTCAGCATCCATCTCCTCTCTCCATGCAGCCCAAGTCCTGGGCTAGAGCTGCTCTGTCCTCCTCCGAGTGTCCCTCTTCTGTCCTACAGCACTGCACAGCTACTGGTAACTCTACTGGAACGCGCAGTTTGTGCAGGCTATAGCTACATCGGAGTATGACTCTGCCCTCGCACTGGCTGGGCAGCTGACGCTTTCGTTCTAGATCCACTGAGCAGGAAACCGCAACTTTTATTAAACATTGCAGAGGGCTGTAGGGAGAACAGAGAAATGCGGAGCTCTACATCACACATCAGCTTGATTCCACCTCCAGAGAAAATGCGCAGCTGCTTTGCTATCAGTGCATAAAATGAGTCTTTTGCTGCTCAACGGTTGCGGTGTTAAATCGCCCCTGCACTGCACGAGCCAGATACGTTTCCATGTTGACCATGACTGTAAAATGTCTTGCCTTGAAAAAAACCATTGCACTCAGAAAGAACATGCACCTTAGATGCATAGCGGCAGACTATCTTTTGAGCTTGTGCGCACACTCTGTGCTTGAGCAGCAGCAGATCACTCTTCGCCCATGCTGTGTGCTTAGGTAAAGCAGAAGCAAAGAAGAGATGGCACCGGCAGCACAACGGTCACAGTACACATGTGCTTTTTTCCCCCCTAATGGCTCAGACTTGGTGAACCTGCTCTCAGCAGGGATTCTGGGTGCACCTATATAGCGGCTGCTGATTGAAGCAAAAGCAGCAGATGCGTCAGCACTGCAGACGAGGGGGCGGGGGGAGGGGAGGAAGCCGAACACGTCGTGGCTCTGTAGTCTCTGAAGACGGAAGCGACTGTTTTATTTACATATCTGAGTGTGGAGTCATGGCTGCGTAATGTCTGAAACCCACATAAAGCAGCTTCTGTAAATGAGTTTATCTGAGAAATCATAACTGTCCTTTTTTCTTTCTTTCTTTCTTTAGCTGATTGCGTCACAGAAAAAAAAAAAATTTAAACCCATAATTTACCTCTGCGGGGTCAACTCATTTTTTTGCTGATACCAAGATGTGGTTGTACTCCCACATATAAGTGTAACGTTTGAATATGAATCTTTTTCTAAGATCCAGTTCAGTTTATTTATACAGCGCCAAGTCACAACAGAAGTCGTCTCATGGCACTGAACAGAAACATTCATATATAAAATAAGTTAACAGAAGCATTCATATTTTAAAATAATAATTTAACATTATTTATCTGAGGAGCAGACTGCTTTCCATCGCAAAAATCTCTTTTTGAGCAAGCATGAAGGCGATGAATAGTCCTGTTACATAAAGATGTGACACCAGTATGTTCAAATGTTGTCAGACAAAACGAACATACTGCTTTTAAGTCTTAAAGAGAATTCAACAGTTTTTGCTGAGTCTCTGTGGGTGCTAACGCTCTGTTTTCGCCTACTAGAGATGGCTAACTGTTTAAATGCAAACATAGAAGAAATCTTCAATAGTAGAACAAAAAGATTATGTCTCAGGTGAAATACATTAAAATCATCCATCCATCCATTATCTTTACCCGCTTCTTCCATTTTGGGTCACGGGGTCGCCAGTGCCCATGTCCAGCAATCACTGTGCGAGGGGCGGGGTACACCCTGGACGGGTCGCAAGTCCATCACAGGGACACATAGAGACAAACAACCATTCACTCTCTCACTCACACCTAGGGACAATTTAGAGTTACCAGTCAGCATAACATGCATGTTTTTGGTCTGTGGGAGGAAACCGGAGGACCCAGAGAAAACCCACGCGTGCACAGAGAGAACATGCAAACTCCACCCAGAAAGGCCCCTGGACCGGGGTTTGAACCAAGGACCTGCTCGCTGAGAGGCAGCAGCTCTACCAGTTGCACCACCGTGCTGCTTTACATTAAAATCAGTTTAGCCTAATAAAAAGTCAACAATGAAGATTCTCAGTCATTCAGGAAGACGTTTCACTTCTCATCCGAGGAGCTTTCACAATTCAATGAACAGAGAGTGTGGGGTTTGAGTTATAAAGCTGAGCTAAGCTAGATACATATGCAGATTGCCCTATCACTCTTCACAATAGGGGTTCATTAGGGTCTTTGGTATATGACTCACAGAGGAGCCACTCTGGTGACATGGATGAAATTCTTGATAGGTGTGAAAATGACTGGGTATCAGGCCTAAATCTGCATTATAAGTTTTAGAAAGATACAATCTGAGACCTCCTCCTCTGTTCTTTAAACAGTCAGATTTTTTCTTATATAAAGTGTACATTAAGAAGACATGAAGGTATACTTGTGCTACTGGATTTAAAAAAGGAAGTCATACTTCAGATATAGTCTTAATTGTAGATATTCTGGAAAATCAACACTCCTTTTATAAAACAACACTTAATTATCAACGTCAAATGTATGAGGGTTAACATCTGAAGGTGCAAAACCTTGTTATTTTCAGCTTGCTTTCTGTATGGATGTCTTTTTTCACTCAGGTTACCAGCATTTCAAAAATCTCTAATACTGCTCACACTGACAAGTGGGATTTGTTGTTTATACTCGGATCAGAGCCTCGTTCTTTTCAAACCCAAGCATTTCTGCACAGCGACTATTGTTCTTTTAGAGTAAGCAAATCAAAAAGCATTAATAATTTCAATGCAAAAAATGATTTAAAAGTTTTCTATTTAGCATGTATTTTCATTATAAGTGCTTCCTGGAATTCAAATACAGCATCATTTTACTGGTCTAACACAAGTTTAAAATCTAAAATCCCAACCATGTTGCTAAATTTTTGTTTAAGATATCCAATAAATTAGTTTGCATAGAACAAGGGCCTTTTAATTTACTACACATGATACAGACAAATATTAGACTTAACATTCAATGGTTCTTTCTATATGTAGATGCTCTAAGAAAGGGAAAATGTGATATTGTTCTTGTGTTACTGTTTTGAGAATTCTCCAGCTTTCTTTGCAATTGAAGCCATATGATATTTTCCCAGAGTTACATTTATGAGAACAGGTCAGAAAACAAAACTCTGCAAACAGAAATTCAAATTAACCTGCAAGTTGAGTCCTTTAAAGGCAGCCAAAAGGTAACTGTTCAAAAATAGCATGGAGGAGAAAATTTAAATATTATATTAAATTTTCTGCATATAACTGTCAGCAAACAAATGTGTTAAAATGTATTTAAACAAACAAACATAAAATACATTCTGTCATCAAAAGCTTGAAATGTGAAGCTGTGCTTTCACACATTCTCTTAAACCTCTTGTGTCATAGTGAGATCTTTTAAAAAGGTTGTCTACAAACAGCAACAGTCTTCTTTAAGTTGCTGATAAATATGTCTTTAAAATAAGGACACGGCTACAATAATATATGGTTTATTTTGTTCCTTCCTATAGTTGTCAGGAAACTTTCTCTTTGTTTTGGGATCTACAGGCTTTAAACTGTCCAGAACATAATCTGTTCAACCTTCTTTGTCTCCTCATGGGGTTTCTCAAGGTGTCCCCATGCTAAGGACGTATGCAATTCCTCCATTGAGTTTTAGGTTGCTCTCAAAGTGTCCTCCCAGCAGGACGTATTCTGATCAAATGCCATCTTAGCTAACTCCTGTCAGTGTTGAGGAGCAGTGACTCTACTTTGAGTTCCTCTCAGATGACCAAGCTTCTCACCTTTAACTCCAAGGCTGAGACCAGATACCCTGTGATTGAATTGTTTTCACCTGCTTGTATCTGGGATCTTGTTCTTAAGGCCATAGGTCAGAGATGGAACATAGATAGACCAACAAATCCAGGACTTTACCTTTCAGCTCAGCTGCTTCTTTACCAAATCAGACCAGAACAAATCTTTCATTACAACAGATCACATTTCATTGTGAATAAAACAGAGATAATTACCGGTAAACTTCTCTGCTTGAGGCAGGGACTCACCCACAACCCAGAGGGAGTGATTAACTTTTTTTCTGGTTCTGGCGTGAGGAGATTGCTGATGACTCAGTCTTAGATCCTGACACTTGGCTGGACTCAACTCAAAAAAGTCACAAGTCACCACCTGCGATCTCCACCTGCTGGGAGAGAAGCTGGGGTCAGGTGCTGTGTGTGCTGGGCCTGGAGCCTAGGTGTACTGATTTCAGGCATGACTGACTTTGCAGGCAGGAATTGAACCAATGCTGGTGTTTAAGGTTGAGCAAGATACAGTTGGACTCATCTCCTCATGCAGCTAAAGCTTTGGAGCCCAACTCTCTGAGAGGGGCTGAACTTTCTTTTACTACGGAGTTGCCCCTGTAAAAGAAGCATTCACTGGTTCTTTGGACACTTACAAGCCCCTGGCTGAGTGCCTTGGTGTTGGGAGGTCTCCTCAGTAAATAAGAGAGTTACCTCTCTGCAGCTTTGAGATGCACTGGGACTATTCTGACTGTTGCCCGTGTTTTTGCATCAAATGGTCGTTCACATTACCTGATCTTAGTGGAGTTCTTGGATAGAGTTCTGGACAGGCAAATTCCTTTGTTGTCTTGGGGAGTTTCAGTGGCTGGGTGGGCAATGACAGTTACCTAATGGCATGAGACTGATAGGAACTGCTTTTGTATTGGAAATCTATGCTAGGCATTGGCTGTCAATATAAAATACCATGTTGAGGATAGAGTGGTCCATGGCTTGAAACCTATCCACCTTGGGCCAAATGTGATGATTGTTGTTTTTTTTGTTGTTGTTGTTTTTTTACTTTACCATCCATGTCTTAAATACTTGTGTAAAGAAAGGCGTAGAGCTGACTGGTAGTGGATTGGGTAAGGCGAACCGTTTGTGAGATCTTCAACTTTCACTCACATACTGAGGGAGAGCTGGAACATAGTCCAAATGGGCCATGTCCAGAAGCTCCATTGTAGAATCAGCTTGCAGTACTTCTAGCCAGAAGGTCATTGGTTCCTGTTGTGGTGGCAACCTTAAGGATGCAAATGTGGAAAGCTGTCAAGCTGAAAAGAGGAGGCTTTTCCTTGGGGTGGGGGGTGTCACCTAGTTCAGCTTACATTTACCAAGTGGCCAAAAAGAGCAGTAACTTCTGCCAATAACATAAAACTTCAAAATAGCAAATACCTATTTAATTTGAACAAAACAATTGTTGGGAATTGTTACTGATTCTGTTCATTTTATGAATTTGTACACAATCTAAACTGGTATTAAAACCAAGCTAATCTCTATCAGATTGCGTATGGTATTATGTATTTATCTCA